GCTGGCAAAGGTAATTCTGAACAATCACAAAACCAAAATCTATTATCTAGTAAAGGTTTAACAAATCCATGCTACAGAACCAGATGCCGAAGGAAAGAGAGTGTTATCTTTGCTAGGCCGTTTTATCTTGCAGCGTGATCCAAAGGCAGCAGCAGCATATCCTCGGGGTAAGGAGAAGTCATAAGTCCGAACTCGTCGTTCCGTCACTAGGAGGAATGACATGACGCACCACAACAACACTACACGCCGATCGTGGAAAGGAACTTGACTAGCCTTGCGCTTGTGCGTAGTGAGAATATGAAGGCTTGTCTCTTCAAGTTTCTGATGTTCCGCGCAATGAAGAGATTAAGCTAATAGTAATAAGGAATTGCATCGGATGCCACTTTGACATACAAAGCAGAAAGCAAGACGGCCTTCATCGCATCCGTGAGCGACGATTTTCGCAAAGTGAGGGAATTTAAACTTCGCCAAAAATCGGAAAATTTTAGGCGTTCAATGGGCCAGAGGGAGAAACGTGAAGCGCCCGTCACGTCTGCGGTATACAGGCGGTCGTCCTCTGTCCGGAGGCCCTATTTCAGAACGTCCATCGTCTCCTCAAGATCCTAGTGGCTCTCGTTCTCTTCACTACGACGGTTGAAAACATACCTGAGAGCGTCCACTTCGAGTGAGCAACTGCTCGGTCTATACTTCGTTTCAGCTTAATTCCAGACGCAGCCGATGCTACAGGCGTGAACATGTGGCCCTGGACAGTGCTTGCACTGCACGAGCGCGCGTGCTTGGCAGGGACGCTGAAAGCCCGGAGCTGGCACTTGATGCATCGGCTACGTCTGGACCTAAGCTGAAACGAAATATAGCGTTTTTGAATGTTCACCGCGACATTAAAGTTCAAGCGGAGGACGTCCGGGATATTGTTTTCCGTGAACGCAGGCGGCTTCATTTTAATGTTAGGCGCTGGGCATAAATGAGATAATAAAGAGAACCTGTAAATTGCATTCTAATATAACTAGTCACAGTTACCTTTTTATTCGCGGTAATTTTTAGTCGAAAGCACGTAACTCTGATCACAAAAGGTGTGCGTGACCGCAGCGCCACCCGTTGCTTACAGTGCGATTGTTTTTTTTACAATTCATTTATTATTCCTTACATCACTGACATTGTTTTATATTATCACCGTGTGTTCGTTTTATCATGTTCACATTGGTTTGATTGAACTGTGTATTTCAGTGAGGATAGTTTGTCATACTTTGCGTTGAAATTGCCATCCTGCACCCCACAAATGTTTCGAAATATCCGTTCTCTATATATCTGAGATCACGTTCCGCATCCCATCGAATAAACATGAATTAAGCAATATTGCATATTTTATTAATTTGAGCTTTTTCTACCCCACAAACAGTTTTGCCGAAAGCCGTTGGAAATGGTCCGTGCTCCCCTGTTGCTCCGTGCCTCGTGTAAAACCGACTGCGTGAGCAGGGGAACGAGCGGGCCCGTCGGGGGGGGGGGGGGGGGTAGTTTTGGCATTTCGGGAGGGGTTTCGACCCCCCAAACCCCCCTCTGCCTACGCCACTGCTAGGGGCCTCACCAGAAAAGCGAGCAGACGACGCATCGCTTCGTTTGTTCGGGGGGCTGCTTTCCCGCAGCTTCCCGAAATTTCTCTACCTCTCGCTCGGTCAGCGCAAGCGAGGAGGTGAAAAATATCAGGACAAGACAATTAATCATTATGTCAGAACTGAAACTCGTGCAGAAAAATTAAGAAACTTTTAAGTCAAAGAAAAAGACAGCAGAGGAGAATGTCTCAACGGTTTAGACTTATTCTCTTTCGTCTTTTCCTTTGGCTTGAAAGTTTCTTGATTCTCTGTGGCAACACGCCAGTACAACTAGGGGTGTCGCGAACCGGCCGAGGTTCGAGTTCGACCAGGTTCGACTTTTTTGAACTTTTAGTGGAAAATTCGACGAACCTTGTATTGAGGTTCGACTCGTGTGCGCATGCGCGACAGGCTGGCCAGTTGGCTTCGGATTGGGTGGTAATGGCTAAGGGAAAAATTAAGGTTTAGTAAGGTACGTTGTTGGGCTAGTTGGTTCATCTTAGTGAAAACATGTAAAATAGCGCAACAGAAACAAGGACAAGAAGTAAACAGGACAGGCGCTAACTTTCAACTAGTTTTATTATGGAAAATCGAACACATATATACACACGACAGGCAAAGCAGCACCACGTAAAAGTTGATTAATTTTTCACCCGATCATTCAAAAACTGAAATTCATTACAATGAAGAACAACAGAAGTGTCGCTGACACATGCCGTCCCACTTTTTTTGATAAAGAAAGCTTCCAATAGCTCTCGAGCGACCGTCTCTCGGCTTCTTCCTAGTATCCGCATCTGCTGAAGTCGCGGAACACAGCCACACGTGTTGCAATGTATAGGCAAATGCGAGCCATATTTATTTTTTACTGATAATGCCTGCTCCCGTGCTCGGTCATTGATGCACCGCCCCGTATGGCCAATGTATACCTTTCCACAACTCAGGGGGATTTCGTAGACCACACCCACTGTGCAGTCCACGTAAGGGGTGACGTGTTTTTTGTCACACGGTGCTTTTGCCTCCTCATGAAGAAAGTTGCAACCAAGTACGATGTTCCAGTTGTATTCTCTGCCCCAAAGAAGTTGGCTGGGTTGTGCGCCCGCATCTCTGATGAGGAGGCAAAAGCACCGTGTGACAAAAAACACGTCACCCCTTACGTGGACTGCACAGTGGGTGTGAACTACGAAATCCCCCTGAGTTGTGGAAAGGTATACATTGGCCATACGGGGCGGTGCATCAATGACCGAGCACGGGAGCACGCATTATCAGTAAAAAATAAATATGGCTCGCATTTGCCTATACATTGCAACACGTGTGGCTGTGTTCCGCGACTTCAGCAGATGCGGATACTAGGAAGAAGCCGAGAGACGGTCGCTCGAGAGCTATTGGAAGCTTTCTTTATCAAAAAAAGTGGGACGGCATGTGTCAGCGACACTTCTATTGTTCTTCATTGTAATGAATTTCAGTTTTTGAATGATCGGGTGAAAAATTAATCAACTTTTACGTGGTGCTGCTTTGCCTGTCGTGTGTATATATGTGTTTGATTTTCCATAATAAAACTAGTTGAAAGTTAGCGCCTGTCCTGTTTACTTCTTGTCCTTGTTTCTGTTGCGCTATTTTATATGTTTTACTACGAAAAATTAAGGGCAGCGCTGATTTGTTATTTCACTTAATACAGTACAAAAAAAATTAAGTTATTAACCTCTTCAGTGATTAGAATTAGTTTGTTTTAAAGGGATACTACAACGAAATTTCGGCGCTCATTTTTTGGTCTATATGTGTTCAAAAGAGCAGTATCACATGGAACATACCAATATCTTGTTAAAAAAGTCTCGAAAAGGAATTTTAAAACGAATTAAACGATTAGCAAAGAGCACCTGGTGGATGTCGCTAACGCCTCGTTTGTAATGCTCGTCTAGGAACCTTGACAGCTAGTGACGGAGGTTGTCTCGTCTCCGGCCACGACGAGAGAAGGGGGGAAGGAGGAACTCCCCTCTTCCCGAAAATCCCTTTTGTGTGTCGCAGAAGTCGCTATTGTCCCCCTAGAAGATTATAGAAGATTAACCCGTCACTCAAAATTCGTACAAAAGCAGCCCCTTCGGTGACTGGAACGACTAGGCCATCCTCTCGACGTGAGCCTCGCCGTAGCTTTCCTCGTCTTGAGACGACCTACGTCACGATTGCGTTGGATGTCACGTGCTCTAAGCTGGGCCTTCTCCGAACGCTTGCCAAGTGGGCCGTTTATAACGAAAAATACAGCCACCAGGATCAAAATACAAACGTGCGATTGTCATTTACGGATATTGTGGATCATATTCAACCTATTTTTGAACACGACGGGAATATTTCAAATTTCGTTGAAGTATCCCTTTAATTGCAACTGTTTATAAAATAAAATAACCCTTTTCTTAAAAAAACATTCTCCAAACCTAGACATGCTTGTATCAAGGTCTGGCCACACTGTCCACAAAGTCGAACCCGTCGAACCGGTCGAATCTGGGGAAAAGTTCGAAGGTCGTCGAACCGGTTCGACCCAGTCGAACCCCGAAAGTTCGACTTAAAAATCTGGTTCGACAAAAGTTCGCGACACCCCTAAGTACAACCGGTGCCTGATTCAGAAGCCGCACTTCTGAATTTGACGCCATTTCTGAAAATAACTACTCAGTGGCCACTTGACTTTATTCAATATAAGCTGCCATTTCCGAAAATAACGGATGCACCCCCAATTACCCCTGGGGCAATGCACACCAGTAAAAAATTCACTGTATATGGGAATGAAAGGGCAGCATGAAAGACTGTGTTAAACTTTACTTTAAAAGTGCATTCTATTTATTGTACTTTACTTCAAGTACATAGCACCCGGTGTAGTTATTACTTTACTTGAAGTATATTACCTCTGATTTACTTTGTACTTTACTTCAAGTGCTTTGAGATGTACTTTACCCAACACTGATCATGGCTATTTACGCAGTTAGAAGACTACACATGAATATGACGAGCCGGTGAATCACCCCTCAATTTCGAAACGCGCGGGGTTTTAGCCTTGTTACGTTGAATGATGGCAGAGTATGCGGTATGAGCTCTTTATTCGAGGCCTGTTGAAATGCATGAAGGAACTAAATTATGAAAGAGTCGACAAGAAGAGGAGAAACGAAACAACGCATTTAGTTACACGCATAAGTTTCGGTTTCGACTAGCTCGAATACCGCCATGTTATAACTTCGCAGACAACTTCCAAAAAAACAAGCATATTTATTTAAATCAATTTTTAAAATATAATATAAATATTAAAACTAATTTTGTTTTTAATATTTGAAATTAAAGTAAAATAAAACTTAATTTACGGGTATTAGGGCCGCGGAAAAGAAATGCCAGCGCGCAAACCGAGTGCTCTGATTGGCGCTCGTCAGCTCTTCTCTTTTCCGTTGCGCAGAGTTTGAAAAGCCGTGGTTCGGTGTGGCTGTCTCTCTGGACAGTGGGCAGTGGGGCAGTGGTTTGTCAAACCGTCGAACTGGTGGCTATTTCTGTGTGCGAATCTCCTGAGGCGGTGAGGATATTCGTTGTCAATCAGAGCCAGTCAACATGTCCACCTGGGATTTCAACTGCCCGAAATTCCGGGGTTTCCTGAACGACGGGGAATCGAGCGACAGCGATGCCGAGGCTTACTTCGGTATGATTTGTTACGTTTCTTCTCACAAAATTCATTTGCGCTGTAAAGTTACGTACCCCCCGGATACATGCCGTAACGCGAATTTCCCCATGGGAAGGACGAAAGAAAAAGTACTACGTAGACTCTAACCAATTTCCTCAATGTGCCCGACGTTTCGAAGCCAGCTCGGCTCCTTGTTCACGGGTTCGAAGCTGGCTTCGAAACGTCGGGCAGATTGAAGAAATTGGTTAGAGTCTACGTAGTACTTTTTCTTATTACTTACCTAACCAGGCGGAGTTCCGCCGAAATGTTTACATTGAAGGACAAAAAGAGTTGACAAGGGCTGAGGTTGCGTGGTTTCCTAGTAGACAGTTGACAAAAATAAAAATGGCGCTTTTTTTTTTTTTTTTGGTGATAAGGGTTTGTCGATTGAGTAGGCGGATTCCAGGTGTCATCTGACACCCTCCAAATATCGCGTCCGAAGACAGTCGTTACCGCCGCGTTGGAACCTGAATGCCTAGTCAAGAGGCCACCAGGTTCAGCTGGCTTGTTGGTGGTAGGACCGAGCGTTCCTTGTCAGGTCTCCCTTTTATTCGTTGGTCGTAAATCGGCCCAGAGTACAATACGTTAACTGAACACGGCTTCTGTTTCTGTCGAAACACGTTAGCGGATGCGCCCCCGGTATTTCGCCATCTGGACGAAATACTTCACGCTCTAAGTGTCGAGTTCTCATTTCGGCAGACTGGCGTTCGACTTTGGTGGTGTTATGCATATGTGGCAGGTTAGGTAAAAGGATGGAAACAGGAACAGAGGAAAGAAACACACAGACGACAGACAAGCGGAAGGTCATTGGCGTTAAAGCGGAATGTATAAAACAAACGTGTTTTAGTGTATTGCAATCGAAAACAAGAGTTTGAGAATGAAAAATTTTAATTGTTTGAGGTGGGGTTGCAGCTTTATATGAATATGTGCTTTCTTGCTGGAAGAATGCTCGCATTTTGTTTAATGCCAACGGCTCTAACAGAGTTGTAGAGTTGTTGGTATGCTCATTGTGCCGCCTGAGTGTGAGACCCCTTTCGTGCTTCAGATGCAGTCCACCCAAGCCCTCCTGCAACAGAAGTCTCCAGTGTATTCCATGATGCATCGGACAAGTCCCGAAATTCCGGCCGCCCTTCCAGGTCTGGTTTTGGTCTTTCTCTGTACTCCATTCACCCCAGAGGCGACAGTGCAATACAAGCTATGTATTCACCGGACCGGTGAAGCGCCATTTTTCGTCACCTGACCCTGCACGTCGGTATGGAGGGGAGTGAGACCATGTCTCAATAGATAGACCAATGTTACTAAAGCCCTCAGTTGGGAAACATCCTGGAAACCTGGGCTGCTGGCGTCCACTGAGACCGAGCTAAATATGATAACAGCACCGCCCTTTAGCGACGAGTTGAAACACGAAAGTGCTTTACATACATACGCGAGATCGCCCTGCGAGATGGCGCCACTAGTCCTTGCCCGACTCGACGTGCAGCCGTGCAGTTCCAGGAGTGGACGCTGAGGGAGAAATGGCGGCGTTGAAATCGCCATTAGCTCGGTTCTCAAGTATGGATCGGAGCCACTTTTTTAAAGCAGAATCTATGGCAGTTTCCCAACTGAGTAATTCTAGTAACGTTGGATAGACCCACAACTGGTCCAATGTGCGCGTAGCTTTCACTGCACTGTGCACCTGGGATTGATTGGAATATGCTTAGTCTTGTTTGCCGCTTTGCAGAGCTCCCTCATGTCGGCAGAATGTTATTGCCCAGCCACTGGCACCTGAGAGGTCTGCTCGGTATTCTATTTGTCACTCCAGCGAAAGCAATTCTCCTTAGGTGCAACACCAAGAAGCTTCAAAAGAAGGATCTTTTGCCATAGCAGTCTACTTTTGCAGCTTGGTTTTAATTTGTAATTTGACGAAGGTCCAAATATTTAAATTTGGTTGAGTGTTCATTAGTGTGGTGAAGCCTCAGTAGGTTGTTTCCTTCCATCACGTGTTTTAAAGCCCATTTACTCCAGAACACTAGGTTGCATGCTTTTGATTTCGTGGATCGGGAAGAATCATGGGAAAACGTTTTGATTTCTTGTCTTTCTCGAATCACATTCAAGGTGACAACTACTTGGTAACTGATAAGTGGTTTCGTTATAAGGATGTAGAACAGTGGACTGAGGGCGACAGACGAGGTGTTTCACTGGAGGGAACACCAATGTTGCAGTCAAGTGAATGGGAGAGTTTGATAGCTGCTTTTCGTGAGTTTGGTTGTGTTCGATTAGCTTCAAGACCGAGGTACCCACGCTGGTTGGTGCGTTGGCTATTCATCTTGGCTGCTTTTCGCCGGAAAAGCCTCTGGACCACACCGAAGGAGTTGGGCTAATTTCACAATTACTTGATTCCGGAAAACTTGCTCGCTGCATACGATTAATGAGGAAAATTGTCTGCTTTCAAAAGGTGGGGGACGCGTCTCGCAAAGTTAGAAGCTGTCACGACACTATGATCTATCGCGCCTCCAATATTTATATTATACCCCCGTCGAAGCCAGCACCAATATACGTCTACATTGCTCAGGTTGTCCGGCCACAAAAAATACTGAATTTCTCCGTTCAGGATTCAAAGTCAAGTTCAATGCAGAGAGGTTCTGCGTGAATCTCCGATGAAGACTGTCTTCAGTTTGTCCGCATTCGTCTTCGTGCTACCGGCTAGAACCATTTGGCTAAGTTTAAGTAGTATCCCTTTGTCTGTCAAATATACTTTTATTCAGCAGTTCACCTAATAGCTAGTCAACTAAGCTCATATTTCAACCCAAAGAATATACTAATATCGCCTTTGTGGGACATAGTACGTAATATAGCACATAACCCGCTTGTCAAAATGACCTCTCAATTGCTACTACAACATAAATTGAAATACGAGTATCAGCTGCTTAGTGGGGCGCCAGCGGGTTAACATGCTCCTTGGTTCAAGAAGCGCTTGCTCAATTTTCATAATTTTCCTACAGCCTGTGTTGTCGACCGAGCAGGCGACTGGAGCTGTTTCTTCAACGCGGATACACAGAAAAGCTAGATATTACGGACAGATAAGTCACATGGTTGAGGCATGCGAGTTAGCAAAAAATTGCTCTCGGTGGAACAATTCCGTAGTCATCACCGCTTTCCTTCGCTGATGAAAACTGATTAGAGTCTGTTACCATCTCTCCGGAGCCCATAGTTTTGGTTTTGCACGATATCTCCGAAACAGAAGTTTGACATGAAAAGAACAAAAAGCACCAAAAAACAAAGCTATTCTCTGCAAGTTTAGGTGCACCAGCTACACTTAACCGTCACAGTCCAAATACCTATAAAATACGGCATTAAACAAAAAAAAAAATTGTTAAATTGAATGTGGCACCTGTTCAGGCAGCCCCGCTGAGCCGACGCGACCTGTTCCCAGCCGCTAATTTTGTTTGGTGGTGCCCACTGTAGGTCGCTGGCGTCGCAAATAGTTAGTTGGAATAACAGAAAATCTCCGGAGTAGCCCTTTAATCTGTCTTTTTCCCTAGTGTGTTCTTTTATTTTTTTTTAATGCTGTCCATGCAGTGTTTTTTTATAGTGGCATCAAGAGGTGAAATATCAATGGGCAAAAGACGCGGTATTTACACCACTAATTAACACATCTCGGGCACTCTAGCAGCGATCTGTCCTCTCCTCAGCTTTTCTGCAAAATGTTAGCAAAGTATTTCTTTTCTTTATCGTAAAATAGAAAAGGATAAAAGCGCAGAAGACGGGACACTCGCAGGTCTTTAATGTAGCAACAACATTTAATGATGTCCTCCACAATTCGATGGCCCTTCGTGCAATCCGGAAAGCTGACGAATACGGAAGGGAAGTAAGAGGACAGGCAAAGGAATGCGATCAGGAAGAGGCCACCCTGTGGTACAACCATTAAATGTTGTTCCTACTTCAAGTACCTAGGCACCTGTTTTCTTTTCTAGTATGCTTATTCATTCGCGCTTTTCCTGTCGCTACCAATGCCGTCCCGGCGACTCGGAGGCAAAGTGCCGGCCTACGGGTCCTCAGGTGGCGGGTTCGAATCCCGGCCGAGGTGCCCGCAATCCGACGGAGGCAGATTGCGGAGGAGGCGCAATGTAACCAAGTTTCGAATTTCACGTTGAGAGATCCCTGTGTGGTTGAAATTATTCCTCAGTCCTCCGCCTAGGCATGCCAGATACCCTTTGTTAGTTTGGCACGTAAAACCCCCAAATTTGACTTGGCCATAGTTTTACTAACACTCTTCTCAAACATCTCATACCTTCTGTGACTGGCAGGCTACCTACGATGTCACAGGACAGTCCGATTGAGTTGAAATATTTTAAGGGGGGGACTGGCCAGGAGGTTTAACTTCTGAATTACTCAAGTGATCGGAATGAAATTTGCAGGGGAGATTTAACACCAGATGCATGTGTACTGTGTAAACTTTCAGCTCTTTGGGATAACTTGACATACCTACATAAAAGAATGTGTCACTCTTCATTGAGAAATCTATGATATGCAAATGAAGCTATTAAGCACCACTTTGACTGCTTGAATATAAAGTGGCGGATGTGGGACTTCGGTGTATCTAGTTCTTATAAATCAAATGTAAATATTTTAGGAAGTGTTATTACCTCAGAATATGAGATGAATATCTGTCCAGTGTCGGTTCTTAAAAAACGGTAGTTTTTTCAACGTGGACTTTTACTTAAAACAAGATGAAGTAGAGAGCCTGATTCCCCATTTAATTTAAGTTCAGAAACATCTTGATTGTGGTATCGGAATACTTTTACTTTCAAACAGAAAATCCTTTGTATGAAATTTGCAGCAAAAAGTGGATTTGAGAAAGAGGCATTCAAACATTGAGGTCCTTGACTTCGTTACTGCCTCACAATCTCTTGGAAATATTTTATATCAACGTCACTCTTTTGCACATGGTTATCAAATTTAGTGTAAGGGTGTATAAAAATTCGAAATTCGGGCCCATGTTCGCCTTTAATGGAGCTGTCTTCTTCCGCAGGCCCTACACGCGGAGCCGCGCGGCCGCGTCTGCGCTGGCCAGTCCACCGCTGCAAGAGTCTGCGCCCGACCCGGCCAAGGAGAACGAAGCGCCGGCGAAGCCATCGCAGAAAATCCTGCCAGGACCGAAACCCCGAGGAAAGCCTCAGTCAGAGCTGGCACTTCACGCCGTGAAGCGTGCAACTGGCAAGGTAGGTTTAGCCACATACCTCGCTTCTCGTCTCGAAACTCCGACTTTCGCGCGTGCAGACCCCCCACAGCTCCGTAGTGTTTCTAGCCGCCATTAGCGTGTAGCCCCACTGCGGCGCCTGGAACGGATTTCAGACCGGTGTGTCATAAATGATGTCCTCCACAATTCGATGGCCCTTCGTGCAATCCGGAAAGCTGACGAATACGGAAGGGAAGTAAGAGGACAGGCAAAGGAATGCGATCAGGAAGAGGCCACCCTGTGGTACAACCATTAAAGGTTGTTCCTACTTCAAGTACCTAGGCACCTGTTTTCTTTTCTAGTATGCTTATTCATTCGCGCTTTTCCTGTCGCTATGACACATCATTTATGACACATCATTAATGTGACATAAAAAGTTGCCATTCGATTTCCTCCCGACGACGTTGCAAAAGTGTCGCGCCTTCGGCGGTCGCCATCCTGGCGGTGTCGCAGCACGGGTGTTTTGGCAGACGACTGTTCTGCTGCGGGTCGCTTCCAGTCTTACGGTCCACAGAAGCTTCAACAGCCGTGACGACGGCAACACTCACTTGTACTCTTTGCCGGGACTTGCAGCTCCAACCGCCAGGACTGTGACATCCAAGAATGTCGCGTACCGGCTTCCATGACGACATTTGTTGCCGCCTCGGGACCGCTCTTGATGTAAGGGTAGGACAGGGCGCTAAACACACCGGGCGGACACTCGCTCCAGTCACCGTAGCCAACACCACATAGAGCTGAAGGCCGCAGCGCTCCTCCGGTGACGTCGCAAGAGTCGGCTGACGAGCGCCGCGGAAAAGCGCTGCACTGAAGGCGTCGCGCATAGATTTACCGACGTAGAATGGCATTTTTAACTGACCCAAACATTTGTTAATTGGTAAAACGGACTTATAAATATCTATATGACTGAGAAACATATTTTGTTACACAGGCAGCATATTAGGACATACAATTATTGTTATGATATGAAAGAGCAAGGTTAACAACGTTTTGAAAGAGATGGGTTTTCGTTTTAGGCATCCAAATCTTGGGTGCTTTAATTATCTCTAGCAGTGAGAAGACAAACAAAAAATAAATGTCCTGAAACGTTATTGTAAGTGATGGGACCCGCCAAAATGCGTAAGAGCAACAATCAAGTTGGTGCTGACATGTAGGTTACACATCTACCCGCGTTCATTCACACTACAAATAGATGCTGTGAATATAAGTTCTCTTACCTTTGATAGCTTCAAATTGTATATTCTCGCGTATCCATACTTTCTTCTTGTATCCATCTTGACACAAATCAAACACAAGCAACTTAGATGCCGCTCTATAGCTTTCGCGATACTAAGACACAGCACGTGCACGGCATGTAGACTTTAATGCTGCTTCGCAATAATAATGCTATGACAACTGTTGCACTGAATATAAAATAATTATTTAGATTTTAGGGTTTCACATTTTCCTTTCTTTGACTTGGAATTAGCCTCATAAGCTTTTGGTTCACCCTTCCACAATAGTTTTTCAGCACAATGTTTGTGCTGCACCAGAACAAGTTCTTCAGCACGAGCTCACTTGTGTATCCTTCTTCACATGCGTTGAAGTCGGAAGTCTCGTTGGTAGACAGCAGTTCCATTGTAAGCTCGGTGACGAACTGAAGCTGGATCGGAACCTTCAGAAACTCTGCCAGCTTGGAGAGTTCTTGAGCAACAATGTAATTGTGTGTCACGGCATTAACGGCGAACATAGTTGGATAAAGGAGCCCCCCTCGATCCAATTGCTTGACAAGAGAGTAGTTCTCCTGCGCAGGTGAAACTGTTGCTGTCTTATCTTTTTCAGTAAGCGCTCTCTTGCATTTTTGACATTTCGACTTTTTCAAATTGGCATAAACTGCACCCTGTCATGGAGACTAGGACTGGGAGGGTCTAATTTATCGCTCGTAACATTGCCTCTTCTGTAACCATGGGCGTTCCAACTGGGGGGGGGGGGGGGGGGCAATGGGGGGCGGCTTGCCCCCCTGTTCTCAGAGTGGGAGGGCAAGACACATGTTTTGCCCCCCCCTCCCCCCCCCCCCCCCCCCCAAAACAGCCACCACTGGACAAGGCAAACACTGGCTGGCAGCGCCCAAGGGATAGGGCTCTGCCCCCCGGCACTGGGGGGAGGGGGGAGGGGTCTGGTTTGCCCCCCCCCCCCCCCCCCCCCATTCAAAAACAGGTTGGTACGCCACTGTCTGTAACTATACTATGTTGCAGCTGGGCCGTGTCGTGTCTACTTGTTTTTCAAGCTCCTCCCATCGCTTGTCTTCACACGGGATTGTCGGCAACATACTCTGGAGTCGCAACTTATTTTCACCTTCGGAAAGCTGCCTTATAGATGTGTGATATTGCGAGCCAGCCAGCTGCCTGTAATTCCCGAACAGTCTTCCAAGCTATCAGTCTGAATCTTTCCCAGCAGGACATAGTTCAGCCCAAGTTCAGTGAAGCAGTATTCGGTGATCTCTACAAGTGCTCGTGTTGTTTGATGGAGTGCTCCTTGAGTCTCCTTGGTTAGCGTGCCACTGGTAAGGTTCTCGCTCTCCCAGAAGTCCCTGGTCCTTGAAAGTCGTCTGAGTCGCGTTTCTTTGTTCGGCGTCCATGTTAAAATTTCCTTCAGATTTCGAGACCTTGACGATTTTATTGATTCCTTAAATAATATGCGCCACAGAAGTAGGAACAAGAAGGGGACATGGAGCGAAGGCTACAGGCTCCTGACCGTGGTTTTTTTTAAAACGGGAGCTTGCGCTACAAAGATACGTTTCTAAAATTAAAAGCGAGAGCTAGCTTGTGCTTGTCGCCTTCGCTGCCACGTCAGCGTAAAATTCAACGAAATAAATTCAATAATTAAAAAAAAAGAAAACAAAACAATGTGAAAAGATGTCAGTGTCCTCACCTTGGTATGCGTCGGTAGAACCAGGTTTTTTCGAGGAAACGCCCGCATCCATACTTTTCGCAGTTCTTCATCCTCCGGGAACTTAAACACACACCTTCTTCGACGACGTTTCATAGTTCCCATGGCACCCAAGGACACAGCATTTGTGAGACATGGCTATCCCGAAAACCGCCCGTAACTTGGCAACCACCACGCGTTAACCGCCATGCACACCAAAGACAAAAGCGACGGTTAGAGCAGTTCACATACTCCTGCCGCGAGACTTGTGCAGGCCGCCGTGCGCAAAGGAGGCAAAAATTGTTAATTGTGCAACTGCCCCGGGAGAACCCTGGGCTTGGAGAAAGCTAAAAACAAGAACAAAAAAAGGCCGAAGCATGCGCCGCTTGGCGTCCTCGGGAAAACGCATATTAAAAAAAGCGAAGAGAGCAAGTGTTGCGGAGAAGCCTTCCTCTCAGGTCAGCCCGCTCGTCGTGAATCTGTGACGTCGCAACTCCGAGCGCTGCGGCCTTTGCTCTAGGTGGTGTTGCCGTAGCCCTTCTTTCCCCTGAGCTATGCACAACAACTCTCCTTTGAAAAGGAATCGTGGGGATGCCACGTAGTGCAGGCCGGCGTTTTGTTAGAGCTAGTCTCGGAGCAAAACTTCTGCTGCTGTTCTCTATAATGCTTTTCGAGACTAATGTCTGGTACGAGTGATTTTTGTTTTTCTTACTTCTGTTTCTTGTTTACTTTGTCACCGGTCTTGAGCTCCCACCCACCCATAAATTTGAAAGATCTCGGTCTTCCTAGTTTGCTGAAAAGGATGCAGACTATCGTTGACGTCCTTTGGAAGCTTATTTGTTGGGGTTGGCTGTGGTATAAGCCTCTCAACGAAAACTGAAAGAAGTATTTGTCTAAATTTAAATTGGTTACGGGGCAATCTTTTCCTGAAATCCCATGGTCTCCGCAAAGTTTTGAAGTGTCACGATTCTCAGGAACGTGAAATTGACGGCACAGTTGTGAGTCAATTGCTTTAATTTTGTGGGCGCATTAAACGGTGCCTCATTAACTAAGTATTTCGGCCAGGTTATCTTTCTCACATTTGGACGGCGGTGACAGACGTGCGCAAGCTGCCTCTGTTCAAACTTTGCTGCAGGTCTGACATGCGTGCGCGATATATACTTGGGAGCTGGCAACTGTTTGTAAATCGCATATTCCTTCCTTTCAAAGGCGAAAACCAGAGCACCAAGAAAGGCTTTGTGCGAGAATAAATGCCAGCGGGATACCAAGGCGGCGTCGCAAGCACCGAAGAGGCCTCTTCCCGAGCAGAAAACGTTGGCGGAGCTGGTGAGGAACTTCGAGAGGACTCCGATGCGGTTCCGCACTCACACGGCTCCGCAGAACTTCAAACGTGAGTGACCAAGGTCACCCCTGTTCACCTTTTAAAAACAATATTCAGGGTCCATGATGTATTCTCCCTCGTTTTCGTATTGCGTGGCGGCTCACATAACACATTATTACTATTCTGTCTATGGAAGCATTATCTTTGCTGTTTTAGCTTTTTAGTGCACTTGGATTCGGAATTTTGGCTTTTCTGAAGCAGGATAGCTTGCTGGGCTGGTTGGTTGAACGACATATTAAAAAACAGCGCAAAAAGGATGGGACACAAAGTAGGACACAGGACCTACGCTGACTAACAATGATAGGTTTACTAGAACTTCCACGCGTGACAGGGGCACGTGCAAGAGCTTGTGCTTGCGCGTGCTAGCTCAAGCTCGACAAAAATCCGTGTGTCGATCAAATAAGTGCCAAGAGAGCATAAAACATTTGAGGCTGCCCATAACAATACTGATCTTTTTTATATGCCCTCGTTCGCATCGGTCAAATAAAATGCGCTGATGCACATGCAAAATAAGAGAACGAGTGAATGCATGACCCAGACGGAGAGTTCAAAAAAAAAAAAGCTAATCTTGGAGCAGAGTGGTGCATATTCAAAGGCGTAAGCAAAAACGAAGGTATGCAAGAGCGCGCGTGGCTCCGCCTCCGTCGCGTTGCTCGCTACCACACATTCTTGATTTTGGCTTACCATATTTACGCGAATATAATGCGACCACGAATATAACGCGAGGGCAGGTTTTGATGCCCTCAAGTATACATTTCTCGCACTCGGGGGCATAGCAGAAGTGAAAAGGCAATGGAAATAGAAGATCCTCACTGCTCAGTCCTTCCATTTACAATCCCCCCCGCGCACATAAGCAGCAGTACGGCGCCGCTTGTATGGTAGTTCCTTTTTCTTCCGCGTCGCTGCCGCAGTGTTTTTCTTTGCAACGTGCGTCACTTAAGAGCAACAATTTACCCTAAATCAATTACTTTTCACCGAGAAAATTTGCTATACTGGTCATTCTTGCTTTGTGGGGCTGTGAAATTTCTTGGTTAACAGAAGTATTTGTTAAACAGGAATTTATTGTAGCATTCTGAAGAACACATTTGCTTCGTTAAACGGGCTTTTTTTGTAGTAGAGGCGTTCGTTATGAAAGGCGTTTGGCTGTAGATGCCAGAAAAGGTTGTTCTTTGTCTCTTTAGGCTTCCGGCCGACAATCCCAGTGACACCGCACCTCGCCACCAAGCTGCGGTCACGGCCCGTGAAGATAGAAACCAAGGCTGAGAGAGATCAGCGTCTTGTGGAGGAGCTCAAGAAGTGAGCGTTTTGGCTTCTTCGTCCCTGAGCCTTGCCTGTGCATGCAACCGTCACGAAACGAACCTTCAGAAGGACTCTGAGTGGCAGTTATTGTTTTTATACGGTGCCTAGAATGCATCCTCTGTCGCTCCCTCCGTTTGGCGTCGTAACCGTACCTACGAGGGGCGTTTTATAAATCTTGCTTCCTGGTACGTAACACTTCTGTTCAGTGATAGAATTAGGATGCTGCATTCAAATGAAATATCAGAATCTCTTCTTTCCTATTAGCACGTCCCTTTTCGATTTAGTCTCCACCGCCGGCGATGCACTAGGCTCTGCATGCCACCGTAGAAGTACAGGGGGCCGCTGTTCACAAGACCGATGCCGTGCTGGAGCAGCTGCAGTTCTTAGATGTTTTGGCCTTGCCCACCTGGCAGCCCGGACCTTGCAGCGTTGGACTTTTGGCTGTTTCCCAAGATGAAGGAACATCTGAAGGGTATGCGGTGTGCCTGCGGCGAAGGCATCACCATTGCAGATCACTGCTGGTCTCTTGAGCAGCTGCCCTTGATCTTCTACGACGGCATGCAGAGGAGAGACTAGTGCACTGGTGGCTGAAGTGCATTGCCACTAGTGAGGACTATGTCGAGAAGTGACGTGCTCCTGGCAGGCATTCATTTGAATGTGAAGGCTGGTTCACACAATAACAACTGCTTACGAGAGTGTGCCTTAAAAAATCTTAGTCTCGTACGGTGAGAAAACGCGCAGGTGCCATCATTGGGTGGCCACTTGGCATTGCCATGTATTTGTTTCTTTGTCGCGCATCATTCTTTTGATGACTCAAAAAAACCTTACATTGTTATAAACTACCGTTTCTCATAGATAGCATGAACATTTGATTCGCAGATACCGCCAAACCTTCGCTCTTGAGAAATGCAGTTCACGGTCACCTCTTAGATGGCAGCTTGGCAGTGTTTTCTTAGAAGAGATCACAAGAAGTTGGTCCTAAGCAATCTCAAATCTGCGAACGGGCCTTAAAGGGACACTGACAGGGTATTTATGCTCGCCGAGGTTTTTAGTTGTACACAACGTATAAGGGCCCAACCATTCAGAAGAGAATTTGCGGCTTGAAATTCGGTTTCGTTCCACCCGAAAACCGCCGATCGACAACTGGCCGGTTTGAGTCGCGCTCATTCTCTTCTCCGTGGTCACGGGCTGTTTTCTAAGGTTTAGACACAACCACCGAATTTAATGAAAGTCGTGGGTCATTGAGGGCACACACTCAATATTAAAAATAGAAAAAATATGAAGCCCATTTTTTGTGGCTTCTAAAAAGTTGCAAATACGTTGATTGAAAAAAAAGTTGCACAGAGAACCGGAAGCATCCTGTGCATTCACTGCACAATTCTCAACGTCGCGTCGTGTCCCGTATTGTGGGACTCACGGGCTGGACGGTGATGGCAGTGGACGACGGACGTGGAACGTCTACTTTAGAACTGTCATTCGCGGTACCGGCGAATCTGTCTTAATTCGAGAGAGAAATTTTGTTCCAATTAAAAGAATTGGTATTCATCCCGTGTGACACGCCTGACCACCAAGCCAATTTGCAAGAAGACATTGCCAAGTCGTCGCCCCTTCTTGTGGCCAAAGACATCGCTCGTGGAAACGTCGAGCACGAAGTGCGTATTTTGAGTTGAATATGCATGCATGCGATTTCTTCACTAGGTGCGAATGTAGCCAATGCGTGGTGCTGCCCGACTTCGGGCCAGGAGTGCCTTTGCTGGAGAGAAATCGGCAGCCAACTTTTCGAACTACGGTAGACTGGCTGCATTACTACGAAGGGTTTCCCCAGTAGCTCAGTTGAAAGAGCTCCGCTTCACTCGCACACTTTTTTTTGCTTTATTGAAAATATATGTGACTTGCTTTATTAAAAATATATGCGACTGTAGCAAAATATTAATTAGGTAGTCTTCTGACACCATAATAAATTGCCTGGCAAGAGGGAAAAAAATATTTAGGGAGTGTCTGTCCCTATAAAAGAACACTGACACCCCCCAAAATTTATTTTTTGTTGGGCGATGCTTTATGGTGTCAGAAGGCCAATCAATATTTTGCTACAGCGTCCTATATTTTTAAGAAAGTAAAAAAACGCAACTGCTCAAAGCGGAAGCCGAAACTGAACTGGAGAAGAAATATAGAGGAGGAGTGTTGCCAAAAATCATGTGGCTGTGCAACATTTTTTTTTTCAATGGATGTATTTGCAGTATAATATGCATCATATTTTGTTTCTATTTTTAATATTGAGTGTGTGCCTTTGATGATCCACGACCTTGATTTGGTGGTTCTGTCTAAACCATAGAAAACGGCACGTGACCACGGAGAAGGGCGCGAGTGCGACTCAAACTGGCCAGTTCTCGATCAATTTTCGGGCGGGAAGAAAACAAATTTCGAGTCGCAAATTGAGGCTCGAAATGTACAAATAATGTACAAGTACAAACCTTGGCGAGCATAAATACCCTGTCCGTGTCCCTTTAACTCCCTTCAATTTCATACAGTGATCTTCAATCACTGTATGAAAAATTTAGACTAGGGGGCAAAACTTGTTCAGCGTCGTTCGTATTATAAGAAGTGCATCTGCTCGAATGCCCCCATGCAGGTACAGAGTGAGGCCCAGCAAGGTTGCTCCACCACGCAAGGCGCCGAGAAAAGAGGCCGAAGTCGTCGCGGGGCCGTCCGGCCACGGCGAGTCGCAGCGCCAGGCTTCCGCACCCACCTCGGACCGCCGCAAAACGCGCGTGGTGTCTGCTCCCGCCAAACCCGAGCACAAGTTTGTTGCTCGGCCACCACCCAAGATGGCTCTTGCCGGCCCTACGGTAAGTTCCACAGTCTGGGTATCATATCTGGTGGGCGTTTTGCTTGCTCGCAAAAGATGCGCACGTTGTTTAGACCGTCGGTCTTCAAACTGAGTTCCTACGAGCCCAGGGCAGTTTGTTAGTGAATGTGAGCATCTTTCCTGGTGACTAAAATCCCCTACAAGGTGCTTCTATATAAAACAGTCCAAACATCCCCTTGAAAATCAGATGTAATACTATAGGAGCGTTGTCTTCTTGTATCCAACTTCCATGGTGGGGACACTCGATATAGTGAACGAAGCTCGGCTGCCCGTTGCTTTTTGCACGATTCGATTGTGCCGGTAGTGAGCACATCGCTTGCGTTGCGGGGCTGGTAGGCCGCCAAGCTAGGATGCATGCAGTAAGATACGCAGCAAAAAAGCAGTACTAAAGAAAAGAAATGAACGCGCACATAGGGAGCAGGGTGCTCGCTGTCGGAATGGTAGCCTGCACCCTTTCTTCAAACACTGCTGATGCTGCGCGGCTCCCTAACCCCAAAATAAAATTAGCAAAAAAAAAGTCTTTGGGTAGTTGAGTGTTTGTGTCGACAACAACGGTTGGGCAATCGCACTTCAAAGGCCTTGCCTTTGTTTACCTTTTTTCTTTTGCCGTTGTTGCTTTTCCCGTTTACATGATGTGTCGCAGCCAATGGGTATTTAGTAGGTGCCATTTTTCGTTGCTATAGACATCAGATAATGCCGGCTTCGCTTCATAGGACAGATAATGCTTTCGCTTTAAAAGAGGTGATGTCCGCTGGCTATGGTATCAACACTTCACTTAATGGCATGCACGAAATGGTGGTTGAGACTCTGTGCTAGAACTTTATTCTTTCTTCTTTTTTTTTAATATAGAGCACTGCAATTTGCAGTTGGTCTTGCTATTGAAATTTAGCATTATTTTGTATATTTTAAATGTTTTAGGCTGCCATTTTTTGCCGAGATGTATGCATATATTTGGAAGTTTTTGTTGTGTGAAGGAAAGAGTTGACAAACGTGATGCAGAGATTGCGACTTCCCATCGCATCTCATTCACCTGTTCATTTATGCGACCTCACAAACCCATGCCTCATCACGAATCTGCGCGATTAACCCCTGTAGTCTGTGCTGCATGCTGTTGAATTTTGTACCGTCCTGGTCTCTTCTCCTTGTGCGCGCCTAGTCTAAGCCACCGAAGACGACGGCAAGACGCACGGTGGCGCAGTCCCCCGCCTTTGCCCTCAAAGCGAGGTGCGAGAGCTGGAACTTGAAGAGGAAGCAGGCGGAGGAAGCGAAAAAGGTGACGTGGCCTGTCGTCCTTGTGCCGTCCTTCCTTTGTTTGTCTCTGCACTTCGTTTTCGGCTCAAAAACCAACGACCAGTTCGCACTTTCCACTTTTTCCTCGCTTCCTCCTCTCCCCCTTCTGCCCTGTCCACCGTTGCCTGTTTCCTCCTCTCCCATGGTGAGGAGGACCTTCTGCGTAGCTGAACCTCGAGAATGATCGTCGGCTTTTAACCGTTTCGTCAACGTGAAGCCGTCCCTAAGCCGTTCAGGACAAGTATAGCTCGTCTGCTTTCCCCGATTCGCGCACTCAATCGTTTTAGACAAACCGGGCTCCCTAATGGCTTAGCGTCAAGCTTTTTTACAATTTTGCTCCCAATTTGTTTATGACTTGAAACTTGATTTTGAAGGCAACAAATGTAATTTTGAAGACAACAATTAAGCAGTTGAGGGCCAGAAATTCCCTCAAAACTTATAACGGTAAAGACCACTTAAATTCTTAAGACTGGTGCCACCTGTTGGGTAACTGTAAAACACTTGGCGCATCATTTTTTTTTTTCTTGTAAAATGTTTGACAATGTTACAAAACGACCATTTCTCATAGATAGTATGTACATCTAGTGTCACAAGTACTGCAGAACGTTAGCGCTACGAAGCACAGTTCCAGGGTTACATCATAGACAGGGCCAAAATGCCAGTGTGTTCCGTCGTCGTAAGAAGTTGCAAGAACAACTCAATCCTATGCAAGCGCAAGTGTGTGAATTTTCGTAGTGCAATGGGCATCATATAAGTGTGTCATTGCTTGCTGAAAGAACTGGGAGTGTCTGTCCCTCGTCCATTTCAGTGTTTTTTTATTCTTTTTGTGTGAACTATCTATTCTTGTTACAAAAAGTGATGAGTACAGTCTAAGCTCGTTATAACAGACCTTGATTTTGACCAAGATTTCGGTCTGTTGTAAGAGGAGTATGTTGTATGCAGATACGAAGTTGAGTCAGTAGTATGTATATAGGAAAACCAACTGAACTTCACAAATCAGTATGTTATATCCCAATGTCTATTGTAACCAGGTCTGTTGTAATGAGCGTAGACTGTAATATTCTCCAGTACCAGAGAGGGACCCTCAATCATCAAAATTGCCTTGCCTGCTACTGAACCTGCTGAAAATGTCAAATGCTGCTTCCATCATTGGTATTGATTACACATTCATGCTTTAGTATGATGCTGCTTATCCAGATCGAAACTGCCAGTGGCGGGGATTAAGCAAAGGATCAGCGGGTCCTATGATGTGAGCTTTCTCTCTGCTTGCTCCTGGCTCAGTGCACTAACAGTCTTGGCCAAATTGTGCCGAAACGGAGCACAGGTTTCTGGGATAAACACATTTTTTCTCCTTTCCTAATTACAAATGTCCACCTCTTATTAACCCCTTAACCGTTTTTGACGAGCCAAGCTTGTTCACTCGGAGCCGTCCCCAAACTGTTTAGCACGAGTGTTGCTCGTTTGCTCACCCTTGCTCACCCCTTGGCCGTTTTGGACGACCCAGGCTCGTTCAGAGCTTAGTTTATGGCGCTGCTGGGAGTTGATAGCACATGTGTTTTTATTGTGCATGTTCATAAAATGGCGACCTGCGGTGCAGATTCATGTGGCCCAAACCGCAAATGCAGTAATTAAAAAAACAAAAACAGGTTAGGATAAAAAAACTGCCAAAAATAAAGAAATGGCAAGGGTTTAAGGAGTTATTATTTTTCTAATTGCGATAGTGGTTAGACATTGTTCGAGTTTACTTGTACGAACGTGCACATTTGAACGGGGTGGTTATTATAGGCAACTAAAACCTGTTGCCTGCCTCTTTTTTGTTTTGAGTGATTGTGTTTTTAGTTATTTTTTGTTATTGTTTCCTAAACCTTCTTACAGTAATCTCCTACTGTGAGACCAAAAAGTTTGAAAACCCCTGGTCTAGAGGAACTGAGGTGGTTGCAGCTGTCGCAAGACTTGTGGTTTCCTCGAAACGAAGGAGTATGATGGCTAAGACGGCTAAACCACTGGATGTCTGTCCCCCCAGCAGGAAGAGGCGGCGGTGGCAGCTGTGCCCGCCAAGCGCCCCTCCAGGTCCCGCCAGAGGCGGAACGCCCCGGGACAGCAGCAGCAGCAGCAACAGCAGCAGCGGCCGACATCTCGGCAGCGCAGCACCACCCCACAGCCGTTCTCGTTCCAGACTCGGCAGGACGAGGCCCTCCGCAAGAAGCAGGCCAGGCTGCAGGAAATGGGACAGGAGGAAAAGGAGGTGCGTAGAACTAGAGCCACTGTACGTAACAGCTTTGTCTGCCAGAGTGACGCTACACTTTTCTCTCTGCCGCCTTTTGCCGCAATCGGTCTAGCGCGGTACGATAGCAACTGGCCAAGATGGCTTAGTTTCTATAGCAACCGACAGAGCCAAACAAGACCGACGATTGTCGAAGTACCTTTTCGGAGCACTGCCCGCGTACCTGTCGTCTCCTTCCTTTACTTCTTGAGTAGCGTAAAGTTCAAATTGTCAGTGGCACGTCTATGCGTGCGTTGAACGTGCTGTGAATAAGGTGCTCAAAACTTTAGAAATGCTCGTGCCAGTATGCCAACCATGCTTTTATGTGGCTTTTACTCACCTTTGCCTAGTACCTCTACCAGCTTGCAATGAACGGATGAAGAGATGAAATTGGCCATTCTAATAAAGAGACTGGCAGGTGTTGCTAGCAGTTTGGTTACTGAGGTGATCTCCAGGCCCAAAAGGGAGATCACTATTGACGCATCTGCCATGGTACATATACAGTCGCCGACCGATTTTTCGGAGTCTGATAATTCAGACTTGTTCAATAATTCGGACCTAAAGGAGGAACCGTGACTTACCCCATAGAAATAGTGTATATTCACAACCAATGTTTCGGACAGCTTGAGTCCGAAAGTTCGATTATTCGGACAAAATCGTCACAAGCAATCAGCGGGAAATACCACCAAGAAGTGGCCATTTTGAATTCTATGTTGGCCGCAAATGGATTGGCTTGGTTTGGCAGCGCGACTTGAGTACTCCCGAGTCTTACCGCTAGGTGACGCTATGCTAGCCTTTTTTTTCCATTTAGCCGCACGTCATCGTCATCATCATCATTATTATCATTTTGCTTTGTTTCCTTCCATCCCTTCGAGCCTCCGCCCCACTTTTGCATCGCCAGTCGCCATTTTGCGCTCGTGGATTTGCACCTCTCATCTCGTTCCTCGCATCAGCAGAAAATGAGACTGCGATGACGACTACCGCCCGCAGCCATTGACAGCGGACACTACGAATGCATTAGCATTGCTGTTGAATGTGTACGACAAGAACACGACGCTCGCGCAATTGCAAGCAGACATCATCGCGAGCAGGTGTACCCTGGAAGCAAGCCACTATTGACGGCTTTTTAAAGCCTGTTTAGGCGTGATAAAGGCAAGCTTTTTTCATCTATTGAATTTTTGGACTGCTTGATTATTCGGACCATTTCGGGGATCACGTCCGAGTCCAAATACTTGGTCGGCGACTGTAGGTCTTTTTCCATCGTGTCACTACTCTGGCAGTGAAAGGCAGTGGCTCTAGGTAGAACCAGTGCCACTCTACAGTCGCACCTCGCGAACATTGACCCTGTTAGTATGGATACCCCCAGACTTCCTTTTCGGAGCCGAACTTCATAAACACGCGCATTTTTGTCTCATTAATATGGACAACTTACATTAGGGATGATTTGGGTTAGGGGGGGGTTATATTGCCGCACGCAGGGATCGAGCATTGCTTGCTCGGTCCCCTTACGCGGCTGTATAATCGAGACATTGCTTTGTGCTACCGTGAAGAGTAGCACGGGGACTTCGCCGACAGAGTGAGGGGGAGCTAGCACCTTAAGTTTCTAAATCACCAGTGCCTGTCGTGCGACGTCGTAGTGACGGGAGAGTGTCGAAAGGATGGAAAATTTAAAAGGAGACGCCGACCTCGCACTTCTCCAAGCTGTTCAGACGTGGAACTGGTACAACTGTGGGGCCCGCAACGCATCCCCGGGGAAATTTATCCGCTAAATTTAGTGGGGAAATTTTTCCGCCAAGTTTAGCGGGGAATTTTTCCGCTAGATTTAGGTGCAATGTGACGTCACTCACAACTTTCGTGACCCTTGTGACATCACGTGTCGCGTCATTATGGGAAACGTGCCACAATGCAATGTGCGGTTATGCCGACACCGCTCAAGCCGGAAGCAGGCAACTAAGAGCTGCGCTCTAAAACGGGTTACAGAAATCAGGCCGGTTGGAACATGGCTGCATGCTATCGCTTAAGTAGGCAGGCAATGAAGTACTTCACGCGACAGTCACGTGGACACTGCACGTCGGGGCACGGACACCTGCAACGCACTTAACATTTCTAGACAAGTGTTCTGGAATATCTTACGTTTTTGCATTTGTTTCGAATGTTCATTCACAGAAAGCGAGCCTTGCTCGCAATTTCGGCGTGTGTCCGACGCGAGAGCGAGACGGACTACTTTCTCGTGCAAACGAATGAAGTGCCACCACGCTTCCTCTTTGCAGCCGCAGCACTTCAAGGCCAAGCCGGCTCCCCCGGCCCTCCGCGTGTTCAGGCCGCGGTGCCGGTCCGCCCCGGTGACGTCGCCCGCGCCCTTCCGTCTGGCGTCCCTCACAAGGCACGAGGAGCGCAAGAGGAATTTCCAAGAGCAGGTGAGGCCCACAAAACCTCTCGGTGAGCGTGCTTGGGTGTCTATGCCACTCGAGTAAGAGATTCATGGAGTGGTGCCGTGGAGAAACTACTGCAGGGCCTACGAAGTTGTTTGAATGCTACTTTGTTGCTCTGTATGAGAGTCCCTCTTTCTAGCGTTTTCGGAAAGTCTGCACATTTCTGACTGAAATGCGTGCATTCTAAGTCGATATATTTGGAATGACACAGACGATTGGGCTAGACGGTTTGTTCTTGGACCACGGCCCCTAGATTCAATCCGTGCCGTTGCGTCGCTTTCCGGGGAGAACGATACAGACTCCGTTTCTCCTCAGTTTGAGGGAGTCGCCGCGAGGTGCGTTGTGCGGCGGGGGACGCACGTCGCTTGTCTGGAGGCGGGAAGTAGAGGTCCGTGCAAGTGTACAGGCCCGCCTGCAGGCCGCAGGCCAGGCTCAGACTTCACAGCTGGGACCATCAAGAGCCCTGACTAGGCCAGGCTTTGCGTTCGCATTTACGAGGCAGGCCTGGGATTTTCCTGGGCACAAACATCTTGCAAAGCTCTTTGGAGGAGATGGGTAGTAGGAAAAAATGTGTCACGCTGATGGCATTTCTTTTATTTATATTTTTTTAGGCAGTGCTTATACGAGCAGGAGATTATTAGCGACGTGTGGGTCGTCGGGCTCTTTTCTACCACCCCGAGTGGCGTGGCGGTAATTTTCATCGTCAGGGGTGCCGCCAAATTCTTTCTTTTTTAAGCACGAACGCATATGCAGCCGCATACAGGCACCCCCTTGAGTGTGCGAACCATCCGTACACACGAGCTGGCACATCTTTAATATGGGTAAACAGATGCCGCTTTTGCATTGTCAAAAATTTTTGCCGTTCGTGTCGTGCTGCAGCAAGATGCGGTTGTGTTTGTAGAAGTATTCCTTGTGATAATTTTATGCAACATGCCCCACTGAGACGTAACGCGATCGTGGGGCATGTTGCTACTGCTTCGTTCCCCTCTGTCGTACAATCGGATTCTTGTGCCAGCAGATGTGCCGTCAGTTTTTTTGGAGTATTTATCTTGCACTCAACCAGTTCCTGCTTCAAATTGAAGACTTCTTGATCGCGATTCACATGAAGTCCCAATCATTCCTGCTGCAATGCAACCAGAGTTGCCAAGTGAGGCTGGAGCTTTTTCTTGGAGCACATTTATATATGGCAGCATTGCTCAAACTTAGCAGCGAGTCACCGACGATATGGAGTGGAATCAAGCTGATGTCAGCAAAGCAAGTATCGAAGCAAAGGGTTGTCAGACCGAGTTTGGCTTTAATTCCTTCAAGGCTCACTTCAAAAAGTTGGAGAAGCTTCTTCAAATGCAAGCAAAGCATCTCAGCGATAAACTCTCTTTGCTCCAAACAGCCAATGACAATAGGAAGTTTTAGAATAACGTACGCAATTTTAGCGCACGCTAGCGCTAAATTTAGCGCTTGTATTGGCGCACGCGATGCGACAGAATTTTAGAATAGCGTTTCTCCGTCGCGGCGCAAAAGCCCAAGCACCTCGCGCTTGCGACGCCACCAAGATACAGTCACAATTTTTATTTCACGCACGAAATGCTGTAACTTTATTAAAAATAAAAAAAACAACAAGATTTTTGGTCCCGAGTACAGTGTAGACCGCATATAACGTATGTCGCGGGAGTCGCAAAAATCCACACTATAAGCGGTACCGCGTTATAACCAAAACATCAATTTTTCAGGCCAAAATACATGCCATGAGACTACTTAGCTTTGTAAAAGAATTTACTTTATGTTAGGTGAAAAATAAAGCTTAGTTTGAGGAAAGTCTTTATTTCACCAGACTAGAACAGTTCTGTCTCAAGTGTGTCACACATTTTGAAAGAAATGAGCGACTTTTGCCTGGCGCAGCCTTTTAACAGCGTCGCGGGTTGCGGACGGACGTTGCGAGCGTTCAGGATTGCTAACCCTAATCACTTTTCTCCGGTGATGAAAACGCGTGAAAATTTGCATCCTTCATACGGTACGCGCCAGTAACACCTTGAACTTGAGCACAGGCATGAAATGCTCCAAATAAGAAATCCGGGCGATGTTCGAAAACACAGAAAGCACCACTCTAGTCGAAGTAAACAAACACGACGACACAGGCGTTTCTGCCGTCTTGAGAGTGCCGCCACGACATCGCCACACGAGTAGGTGGATCTTCCCTTCTAGTACGTGCTGGGTTATCATAACGACACACAACGAAAATTCACAGTCAAGGGTAGCGCTTTTACGCGGAACGATGAGCCTCCATCACGCAATCTACGTCGACGATCAAAACCAGCGCCATGTCCGGATAGACGCAGCCGGCCAAGCCAACACCTAGGAGGTGTTGAGCCGGCCCGCGACCGGAGAGGAGGATGGCGGGGAAAGGAGAGAGCCAATAGTGTGTACGCACTGCCGGCATGCAACGAGCGCGAACACTTCTCCTCGACCTGCGATTCGTCTGTCGTTGCGGTTGTTTCCAACCATCGCAGCGGAGGGACGCGTGCACGAGAACGACACGTGCATGCGTCCCTCCGTCGCTATGGCAACTGCAGCCTCTCTCTTCGCATCTCCCGGTTTCTTCGAGCAACCTCCTTGCCCCGCGAGTGCCGCTCGCGGCTCGCGCAGCTCGCGCCGTTATCTAGCGCCGCAAAGGGAAGCGTGCTCGCTGCGCCGGTCGGTCGGCACGGCCGCCGGGCTCTTCCAGAAACCGCACTATAACCGGTATTTCCCTTCGCGCGCCTGCATTTTAAGCGGTATGTAAATGCATGGAGTTCTATGGGAGGCGAACCGGTGGTTTAAAAAAGCCGCGTTATACCCGGTCCTGCACTATAAGCGGTTACGTTGTAAGTGGTCTATACTGTATTATTTTAGATTTGTTTGAACATGAGAATACGACGCGAGCGGTTGACCAGTCGTGTCCGCTTGCGTCGCCTTGGCAAGAGAGGTCTCGTGTACTAACCTTCGCACATCGTACCTTCGCCGAGAAATGTTCGCGCGTCACAAGCATCAAGTTGCCGGTGATCGTAGCCAAACCAAGTGCAATGTCATCCCGTATTGAAAATCGCAGTCGCGAGGATGCCGCCGACGTCGCACTTACGACGCCGCCAAAGCAGCCGCCGACAAAATCCTGGAAGCCGCCATTTTTTTAACTCTGCTCGTCTCGGCTTTAGCCAACTTCTTACCATGAATCCACCTTGGAGAAGTGCAAAGACTCTTTGCGTACGTACGCTATTTCCGAGAAATAGCGCACGCTAAAATTTCGCACGCAAGGCGCAAAACCTGGTTTGCGTTCTGAGCATGTGCAGTGGCGACGACGCTATTCTTTGCGCACACAAAACTTTAGCGTGCGCTATTCTAAAACTCGCTAATATCTGAGCACATTTAAAAAACGACCAAGGCAACATGCTTGTTCAGTGTGTCCTGAAGGTTGAACGAGCAGCACAGGACGACGCGGCACTATGTTTCTGAAGCAGCAACTTTTGAGTTTTGAAAAGGAGCGTTTATCCTGGACTGAGCCCATACTGAGATATTGTCCTGTGAAAAGCTTGCTCGAGCAAAGGATACAATCACGCGAAGGAAAGAAACTTGTTCAAGCTGCCCTGCCGTACTACACCGCAGAAGTATGTTGGATCATCCGACGGCGAGACTGGTATCACGAGCCTTATTTTGGAGCGCTCGAAAATAGGAGCTGGTCTACGATATTGGCACGAATGACAAATGGTGAGCCGGCGAACAACTGAAAAAACTAAACGTTCAATGGGGCGAACTTGTGCTCAAAACAAAAGAGAGAAACGCTAGCGTCGCAGACGTCCATGTCTGCGAAACGGCAGGATCGAGCGCTGGGGCGAGACTGACTCCGGCTCGCTCCGCGGAGCCCCTTATGTACACGCGAGGGCTTCTGGAACATTCGGTGCCTAGAACATTCGGACCTCAAATACGCAACGGGGTTCTCAAATTTACTAGAATGCGTAAGTTTATAAAGGTAATAAAAATGTATGTTGTATGTCTGCTGCCTGGAATCGAACTATGGCCTTTCGCGTGGGAACCAAGTACGATAATTGTTAGGCCACGGGCGCGCTGCCTACTTGGTCAGCTGCGTGCGTGGCATTATTCCCCCCTTTAGAATGAAATCGGCACAAAACGAAATCAGAAATCCAGAACAAAAGGACAGCAGAATTGAGAACCACAGTTAAGGCAAGACACTGGTTCTAAAATCAACTTTTTTGTTTATTAATGGATTATAATGAAAATCAGTGTGTATATGTGTTTTGGCTTCCTCTTTTCAAATATTCAATTAGTTCTGCAATATCTCAATTACTTTTCGAGTTACGAAGAAAATAATGAAGCCTAATTAGGTCATTCCTTACGACTCATTAAGGAACTTTCTAATACGAATTTTTTTGCATAAGTGATATGGATTTGTAGCTAAAGACCTGTCATGCAAGATGATGCTATTTATATTTTTGTAAAGATAGATCAGTGTATAAAACTAGTCTAATTAGGTCAAGTACACTATTTACAAAGCCTAACGAGGTCACATTATCACTAATAATAAAATTTCGGGCCCATACTGTCATACAAAAATAGCGTCACCCTGCAGTTCACTTCTTTCTGAATTCAACGGTTTAAAGTTTATAGAAATCCTTGAAGAATAATATCATGAAAACAACCGTAAGGCTAGGCATGTAGACGAAAAATGCGAAGCTGAGAAAATTGCAGTTGAAGTTTTGACACTCATTGCATAAAATTAAGGGATCCCATGCAATAATGTTCAGCAATATGAAGCATAGTTCTATCTGAACAAATTGAGATGAAAAATTCTGCAATCCGTTCACAAGAACCTTTAAAGGGATACTACAACGAAATTTCGGCGCTCATTTTTTGGTCTATATGTGTTCAAAAGAGCAGTATCATATGGAACATACCAATATCTTGTTAAAAAAGTCTCGAAAATGAATTTTAAAACAAAT